CGCCCGGCGCCCGCCGCAGCGGGCGGGCGGGGCCGCTGGCACCCCGGGGCTCAGCACGCCTGGCTGTCGCAGGGGCGGTCCTGCGGGCCCTCTCTTCGCTGCCTCTCCCCTATAAACCCCCTCCCTCTGCGTACGCTTCCCCTTACCTCTCCCCCCCCTCCCCTCTCCCCTGCCCTCTCCCCTCCCTCCCTCCCTCTCCCCTCCCCTCCCTACTCCCCTGATCTCCTACCCTTCGGCGGGCCATGTCCACCTACTGCGCGCTCTAAGGCCGGCCTCTGGATGTGAGAGATAAAGCACAGCCAACACATATACTCCCAAATGGTCAAAAAGACATGCAGCAAATCGTCCCCAGGCTATGCTTGGACTATTTTTGAATATTCCTCATGTAGAGAGACGTGCCCGATTTAACTCTTCCCTGATCTCCTGTCTGCGGTCAGCCAAGCACGGGCAGCAAACAACAGCTCCCAACCTGGCGCCCTCAGCCTGCATGGCTGATGTTTTGGTTAGGGAAGGTGTTTTTGAGGTGGTCGGGCGTATTTTTTGATGCTCACTCCTAGTATATGTCGGGCGTGTCCCCCTACAGGGGGATTTTCGACGAAACATATAAAATAGTCAACAAAATAATCCCCAGACTATTCTTTGACTACTTTTTGATTATTTGTGGGTATGTTTCATCTTTCGTCGAAAATCCCCCTGTAAGGAGACAGGCCCGACTTAATAGTAGAGGAATGAGCAACTGCATTGATATACACTTCGCAGCCGGGCTGAGCCTAAACGGTATGTTTCGCTTTCGTTGTGTTTTCGCTGTCCCTCGCTTCTGTCTCGAATCCGCCTTTGCCGCAAAACGGCGTCGAAACGAAAGCGGCCCACGAAATGGCCAACAGCACCGCTTGGGCCCAGCCCTGCTCCGCAGGTCCGCACCAGCTTCTGCGATCGGCGCCGGGCACCCCTCCCTGGCGCGCGGAAAGCGAGCCAGGGGCGGCGCCGCAAGCGCCGCCAGGGGGAACCAGCGCAGCTCCAGAACTGCGAGCGAGGCTAGAGGAAAGAGAACTATGCACATACACCGATTCTGGCCCGGCCCAACCCTGAGCCCAGGATCGGTGCATACGCCCTCTTACCTTGGCCAGGAAGGTACATGCACCGATCCTGGGTCAAGGATGGGCGTTGTCAGGATCGGTGCATGTGCATAGTTCTCTTCGCCCGAGAGGCCCCGGAGGTGCATGCTCGCGCGCTCCTGCCGGCCTCTCTCTTCTCCCACCGGGTGGGCCCCCGGCGACCTCCACGGGAGGTGCGCATGCGGCCGGGAACTTCTGCTCCGCGCGCCGCGGCGTTGGCCTCCTCCTCCTCCCCATCCTCCTCCTCCTCCTCCTCCTCCTCCTCCTCGTCCTCGTCCTCGTCCTCGTCCTCGTCCTCCTGCCCTCCCTCATCCGCCTCCTCCTCCTCCCTTCCTCCTCCTCCTCCTCCTCCTCTCCTCCTCCTCCCTCCTCTCCTCCTCCTCCTCCCCTCCCCCTCCTCCATCCTCCTCCTCCCTCCTCCTCCTCTCCTCCCCTCCCCCTCCCCCTCCTCCTCCTCCCCCTCCTCCTTCCCTCCTCATCCTCCTCCTCCTCCTCCTCCTACCTCCTCCTCCTCCTCCTCCTCCTCCTCCTCCTCCTCCTCCTCCTCCTCCAGGCGACACGCCGTGCCCTGCAGGCTGCTGCCGTGCCGCTCCGCTCCGCGGGGCGGGAGGCGGGGAAGGGCTCTCGGGACGTCGACGCCTGCGGGCTGGGCAGCGGACAGCTCGCCGCGCCGAAGCGCGGCGGGCCAGAGCCAGCGGCGCGACACCTATGCGCAGACCTCGGACCATAACTCGGCTCTCCAGCGGCCGTTCGGGGCGATCCGGGCACCCCAGGGACGCTCTCGACGAGGCGCAGCTGCTGGAAGGCATCCCCCGAGGCCGGAAAACCGCCGAGAACCGAGGGAAACGCCCGCAGACCTCGGACCTCGAACCTCGAGCCTCCTGGCTCCCCTCGACCCTCGAACCCTCAAAGCATCGAAACTTCGACCACGACAACGCCCGATCACCTCAAGTCCAAAGGGCCCGAAACGCTATCCAAAAGCTCTCGACCGCAGGCCCCTGGAACCCTCGACCTCCATGGGTGGCGTGAACACAACGGGGAGGAAGAGGAGGAGGAGGAGGCGGAGGAGGAGGAGGAGGAGGAGGAAGAGAGGAGGGAGGAGGAGGGAGGAGGGAGAGAAGGAGGAGTGAGGAGGAGGAGGAGGAGGAGGAGGAGGAGGAAGAAGGAGGAGGAGGAAGGAGGAGGAGGAGGACGCAGGAGGAGGAGGAGGAGGAGGAGGAGTGAAGAGGAGGAGAAGAGGAAGAGGAGAGTGAGGAGGAGGAAGGAGGAGGAGGGGTGGATCACGAGGGGGACGAGGAGGAACGGGGGAGAAGGGGTAGATACGGGGAGGCAGCAGGACGAGGCAGGCGGAGGAACCGGAGCAGGAGAGAGGAGGAGGAGGAGGAGGAGGAAGGAGGAGGAGGAGGAGGAGGAGGAGGAGGAGGAGGAGGGGGGGAGGAGGAAGGGAGGGAGGGAGGGAGGGAGGGATTTTTGGATTGCGCACGCGATGAACCTGGCGGCTGTCGCGAAGGAGTGGCGCTGCAACTCGCAGAAACTTTAAAGAACAGTCAGGCAGGCTGGCTGAACTAAAAAGCGGCGATCTGCACGGGCACCAAGTGAGGCAAGGTCAGCACAGCACGAATGGACCCCGCATCAGAATGGACGGGACGCGTCGAACCGAAGCAAGGAATCCGTACTTCCCTCCCCGCTCTCATGAAACCCCCATCCCCCACAGTAGGTGGCGACGGACGGATCAAGACATACTCTGCTCGCGTGCCGTGCCCTAATGCGCCCTACGCGGGCATTGTGGAGGAGAGGCGGGGGGAGGGAATAATGTGTGAGAGGGAGAAAGAGGGCTGGGACACAGACCGAAATTCTCCTGCTCTCGTGACACGGAATAAAGCTTGGGAGAAGGCTGGGACACAGACTGAAACTCTCATGCTCTCGTGATGTCGTGACATCTCGTACATCTTCTCTCAAGAAACCCCCATCCCCCGCAGTAGGTGGCGACAGACGGATCGAGACATACACTGCTCGCGTGCCGTGCCCTACACGGGCATTGTGGAGGAGAGGCGGAGGGAGGGGAACAATAGTTAGGATATGCGAGAGGGAGAAAGAGGGCTGGGACACAGACCGAATTTCTCCTGCTCTCATGACACGGAAGAGAGCTTGGGAGAAGGCTGGGACACAGACCGAAACTCTCCTGCTCTCGTGATCAAAGTGTCTGAACACAGACGTGCATTCATGATCCCACTTCACAAGCATCGTCCTGAAGTTGACAAGTTGCGACGTGGCCGGAAACTTGCAATACTCAATGCTCAGTCGCCTCACTCGGGGCCATCCGGGCTGTCTGGAAGAAGAACCCGACGATCACCATCACCATCAGAGCGAGGCACGATCTTCTACTTCATATGGATGCCGATGGCCGCATATGCGGCAACCATGGCGGCCCTGGCAGCTTCGATGCCTCCTTGAGCAGCGATCGCGTCGCCGATCCTCCGATTCATCTCGTCATCATCTCGCTGAGCAGCAAGAAGGCCGGCAGCCACGTGCAGTAGCTCATGATGGCGGGCTCCAGCTTCACCACCAACATCTTGCTGAGCAGCGGTAGGGCTGGCTACCACTGCTCGCCATGCTCGCGCGCACAGGTCAGGGTACCAGAGATCATGATGTTGGGCTCCAGCGTCACGACCCACATCTCGCTGAGCAAGGATGGGGCCGGCTGCAACCGCCAGCGCATCTCGCACGCGCTGATCGTGGTTCTGTGGCTCATGATGGCAGGCGTCAGCTTCACCACCGACATCTCGATGTCTCGCACGCGCTCTTCTGGGGGCTGTAGCTCATGATGTCGGGCTCCAGCTTCACCACCCACATCTCGCTGAGAAGCGATAGGGCCGGCTGCCACTGCTCGCCCTTCGGGTAGCTGCTGCTGTCCCAGTGCCGCTGCGCGTCGCTGGGGCCACGCAGCGCGGCGCGCGGCCAGCAGACACGCAGCCGCAAGATGGGCAGCAGCTCTGACGGCAGCCTTGCTGGGCATGGCGGCGGGGGCCTCCGCCACGGCACCGGCCTCCAGCTTCGCGTCCGACGCGGGAACAGCAGCAGCGTCAACGTCACCAAGTTGCCCGCACGGTGTGCCGACGACGTATCGGCTCACATCGCACAGCGGCGGCGGCGGCGGAGCGCGCAAGGCCACAGCCGGCGCCACATCGGGAGGAGCGCCAGGCGGCGGCGCCGGCACGCGGCGAGCAGCCAGGTAGCTGGAGGCACCAAGATACGCCGCCCGAGCGCCACGCTCCGCGCCTATCGAGCACGGCGGGAGCTCCGGGGGTACAGCACGAGCAAGAAGACGTAGAACATGATCCTGGCCGAGAGCGGGAGAAGCTGCAGCGGCAGCGTCGGCACGATCTTGGGCGGGTTGCGCAGGCAACGCGCGTGGCGGCAGCAGCACCGACGAAGCACACGGCGAGGGGGTCGGCGTAGCACTGGGCGAACGGGCGGCTGCCGCAGCCGCAGGGGCGCTGATCGCCTCGAGCCCGGGTGACTCCCGGGGTGCAGCACCAGCAGGAGGAAGTACATGTTTATCTCCGCGGACACGCTCGGGTCCAGGAGCAGGGCCACGACGCGCGACGGCGGCCCCGTCGCTCATACGAGGCCGGCATCCGACTCTGGCCGTATAGCCGAGCCGTCGCGCAGCTGCGCGAAGCGTCGGCCTCGGTCGGCTGCAACGCCATCTGGAGAGGTCTCGCGGCGCGCGGCTGGCCTGCGGCTCGCCTGGCATCGGCGCCAAGGGCAAGGCGAGGCGGCCCGCGCGCATGGCAGCTGTCCGCGGGCGAGGCTCGCAGCGCGCGGCGGTGCCTGGTACCGCGGGCACTGCACCCAAAGCCTCGACCGGGGACGGCGGCTGGGAGGGAGGAAGGGAGGGAGGGAGGGAGGCGCGAGGGATTCTAGGGATTCTGCCAAGGCGTAGCCTAAATGATACAAAAGCCGCCCCCTGAGCTCGAAATTGAAGTAGACGAACCAGAAGACGAAGGGCAGGAGCAAGCAGGGAGCTGATGAATATTGCATAATACTGCCAGTCGCAGAAGCCGACCCGCACACGACCTCAATAGCAATACCACAGAAACTACCAAGCCTGCCCAATAGCAATACCAGAAAAGTTTGAAAAAAAATTTGCCGAAACGACTCCACAATGACATAGCCAGTGGCTAAGCAGAAATGAGTTTGACTCTATGGGGCCCTAGCTGTGCCGACACGGCGGCACTGTTGATCACTAGGCTAACTCAAACCGATCAATGAGCTCGCCTCGCCCACAAACCACCTCGCCCCAGTCGACCAAAGGAAGTACCGCCGACAGCTGAAGTCCCATACCTGCATGCTCATCGAGACACTCTGCACGACGAGCGGGGAAAACTGAAAATATACCCTTTGACTTAAGCACACCGAACTTGCAACTGAACCCACGCCAACAGATGAATCCAAGCCATAACCACCCGCCCGAGCAAGTCGAGATGAGGAGGGCCGCCAGTGAGGGCACTGGCGGAACGGTTTGAACCAATATGCTGCTGAATCCTCAACAAGTTCGGAAACGGGTACGCTAGCCCATTCCAGCATGATAAATGAAAATGCTCCGATGGGACCGCGTGCTGTAAGAACTGCTCGCCCTTCTCGCACGCGACGATACCAGCACAATAGGAGATGAGGTCAGGGCCCAAGGACAGCAACCATAAGGCTCTAGGATAGCAGATGAAGCCGCACGTGCCGAACATGCATGGCAATACTCCGCACGGGATGGCGGACGCGCCAACCCTGCAGCCCGCCTGGGCCTGCGGCTCGATGCCTGGCACGCTAGCCCATACCAGCATGGTAAGTGACGACGCTCCGATGGGACCGCGTGTTGTATAGAACATGTCGCCCTTCTCGCACGCGCCGAACCCAGCACGGTGGAAGATGGGGTCGAAGCCCAAAAACAACAACCAAAAGGCCCCAGGATAGCAGAAGATGTCGCACGTACCGAAGATGTGGGACATTGCCTCGTCACACGAGATAGCGCCCACGCCGAAATTGCAGCAAACCTGGGCCTGCGACGCGAAGTACGCGGTGGGCGAGCCACTGCGGATTGTGCAGCAGACGTAGCAGAGCGACTTGCAGCAAAACTCCACCTCGATGCAGCACAGTGCTTCGCTCGCCATGCACCCAATGCACCAGTCGTCGCTGAGGCAGCCTCCGCAACTGCAGTAGCGCGAGTCCGTGACGACGATCGCGTGGTTGCCGAGAATGTCACCTTCGCCGTCCAGCGCGACGAGGACAATCCAGCATAGCAGCCACCGACTCATACCGGTTCACCCTGTTCTCCTCGATTTAGCCAACCCGCCCAGCCTGGACTCGCTGACCCAGGCGTCGCGAGTGCCACCCAAGCGCCACGGTGAGGCATCGAGGAGCGCCCGAGGACTTGCGATGGAGCCAAAACCACAACGGACGCCCTCGAGCCGCCTGTGCTTGAGGGGAGGGCGCGAGGGAGACGAAGGACCAGGGCCCAGACATGCGACGTCCTGATTTTGTCAGGACGGCGTCCCTGGAAGTCCCGACCCTTTCCCCGGGGCCGGTTTTTCGTCCCGAGTCGTTTTCTGACGGTCCCGAGGCCCGGCGAGGGCCCCCCGGGGCCGAAAATAGCGAAAAACCTCCCGTCCTGATTTTTTTACGACGCCATCATGTCTGGGGCTGTTGCCAGCTCCTAAGCCTCAGGACCATGAGCGGTGAGGAGGTCTCAGGCGGAACGCCCATTTCCGCCCCTCCGGCTGGCATCGGGGTGCGACGGGGCGGAGTTACATTCATAAGGACAAGGAATGGAGGAGGAGGAGGAGGAGGAGGAGGAGGAGGAGGAGGAGGAGGAGGAGGGGGAGAGGCAGCAAGGCCAACGGGACGCTTCCCCGGGGGAGGCCCCGACAGGTCCTCGCCCGCGCCCCCCGGCCGCATCAGCAGCCCGCTGGCGGGCCGCTCCGGCTTCACGGCCCGCACCTCCCGGTTGTAGACCTCGGGGGGCGGGCCGGCCGGCCGGTCTCTCGCCCGGAGGAGGATCGAGAGAAAGGAGATCGAGGGGGAGGATCGAGGAGGATCAAGGATCGAGGAGGGTCGAGGAGGATCGAGGAGGATCGAGGAGGATCGAGGAGGAGGATCGAGGAGGAGGAGGAGGAGGAGGAACGAAGAGCAGGAACGAGGAGGAGGAGGAGGAGGAGGAGGAAGAGAAGGAGGAGGAGAAGGAGAAGGAGGGGGAGGAGGAGGAGGAGGAGGAGGATAAGGAGGAGGAGGAGGAGGAGACGAAGAAGGAGGATAATAGAGGACCATCGAGGAAATTCGGGGAGGATCAAGAAGGAGAAGCGGGAAAGCAAGAGGAGGATAATAATGAGAATGATGAGAATGATGATAATGATGATGATGACGATGATGATGATGATGATGATGATGATGATGATGATGATGATGATGATGATGATGATGATGATGATGATGATGATGATGATGATGATGATGGTGATGATAATAATAACGATAATGACGGTGATGACGATGATGATGATGATGATGATGATGATGATGATGATGATGATGATGATGATGATGATGATGATGACGATGATCATGAGGAGGAGGAGGAGGAGGATAATGATAATGCTGCTGATGATGATGATGATGAGGAGGAGGAGGAGGAGGAGGAGGAGGAGGAAGGAAATAATCGAAAAGGATCGAGGAGGTTCGAGGAGGATCGAGGAGGAGGAGCAGGAGGAGGAGGAGGAACGAAGAGGAGGAACGAGAAGGAAGAGGAGGAGGATGAGGAGGAGGAGGAGGAGGACGACGATAATCGAGGAGAATCGAGGAGGTTCGGGGGGGGTTAGGGAGGAGGAGCGGGAGAAGGAGGAAGAGGAGGAGAAGGAGAAGAGGAGAATCGACGAGGATCCAGGATGTTCGGGGAGAATCGACGAGGAGGAGGAGGAGGAAGAGGAGGAGGAGGAGGAAGAGGAAAGGATGATACGATGACGCCAGATCGTCGACGAAGCCCGCCACGGGCACAGGCACCAGAAGGAAGAGGCGGAGGAGACAGAGGAGGACGAGGCCGAGAATGCGGGGGAGGCGGCGGAGGAGGAGGAGGAGGAGGCGGAGGCCGAAGAGGGACAAGGAGGCGGCGGAGGAGGAGGAGGAGGAGGAGGAGGAGGGGCAGGTCGAGGAGGAGGAAGAGGAGGAGACGGAGGACGAAGAGGAGGCGGAGGAGGAGGAGGCGGAAGAAGGACGAGGAGGCGGAAGAGGTGGCCAGATGTGTCTGTGGCGACAAGGCTGGCGCCCCGCGACCCCTCCCCCCCCCACACACACGCCAGCCCGGACGCCCGCCGCCTCTTCCAGCCAGCTTCTAATCGTCGTCCACGACGACGACGCAGACGACGACGACGACGACGACGACGACGACGACGACGACGACGACGCAGGCGACGCCGACGACGCCGCCGCCGCATCCTCCTCCTCTTCCTCCTCCTCCTCCTCCTCTCCTTCCTCTATTCGGTTGCCCCTACCTCCTCCTCCACATACTACACCTACCTTTCATGCCACTCCTCCGCCTCCAAGACACGAACCAAACCACTCCTACCTCCTCCTATTCTCATCCTCCTCATCCTCCTCATACTCCTCCTTCCTCTCATCCTCCTCCTCCCTCGAGCCTCTCATTCTTCATCCTCCTCCTCTACTCCTCCTCTCACTCCTTACTCCTCATCCTCCTCCTCCTCCTCCTCATCCTCCTCCCCGACCCTCCTCCTCGATCCTCCTCCCCGATCCTCTTCCTGTCGCACCCCCAGACGTGTCCGTGGGGCGGACCAGGCGTTTCGCTTGAGACTCTCCTGCCATGTATGATCCTGAAGCTCGAGCTTTGCGAGAGCTCCACAGATGGAGGGCGGGCGTTCTTTCAAACGTGGATCTCGCCTTAACGCCGCGCACATGTGTCTTAAATGTTGACAACAGTTTCACATGGAGGGTGGGTTGTGTTCAACATGTGACTCTCGCCTTGGCGCAGCACACATTCGTCTTAATCGTCTGCACTAGATTCGAAAATGGATCCTGTTCAAAGCGTGGCTCCCGTCATAGTGCCCGTGCACACTCGCTTTAAACAGTTTCCGGCCGTTCAAAGAATTCGTCCAATCGAAGTCCCAATATTGTGTTATGGCACGACTTGGGATTGCCAGGGCCTAACAGCCACGTGGGTTAGTGGTCTCGAAATCCCAGGGACGGCGTCGACCTTCAAGACGCAACAGTCACCTTGATCCGCGGCGCTGAAGTCCAAAAAAATGTGTTTGGCACGATTGAGGCCTCTCCGACGGTTGTCTTCAAATGGGTCCTTTCCCGCTAAGAAACATAAATTCCTTCAAGGACATATGAAGGGGGAATTTGGAGGGAGGGTGTATTGCAATATCGCTGGTTCGCCTTAGGTTTACACTGGCCATCTTCCTGCACCTCGTCGATCCTCCTCCGCCTCCTCGATCCTCCTCCACCTCCTCGATCATCGGCCTCCTCCTCCTGCTCGATCATCCTCCGTCTCTTCGCTCCTCCCCAAAACTCCGTCCTCCTCCTCCTCCTCCTCGATCCTCCTCCTTCTCTTCGCTCTTCCTCCCCATTCCTCCTCCTCCTCCTCCTCCTCCTCCTCCTCCTCTTCCTCCTCCTCCTCCTCCCCCTCCTCCTCCCCCTCCTCCTCTTCCTCCTCCTCCTCTTCCTCCTCCTCCTCCTCCCCATCCTCCTCCTCCCCCCCTCCTCCCTCTCCTCCTCTCCTCCTCCTCATCCGCGCTTCCTCCTCCTCCTCCTCCTCCCCCTCCTCCATCTTCCTCCTCCTCCTCTTCCTCCTCCTCTTTCATCCTCCTCCTCCCTCCCTCCTCCTCCCCCTCCTCCTCCTTCTCCTCCTCCTCCTCTTCCTTGATCCCCCCTGGTCTTCCTCCTCTTCCTGAATCCTCCCCCTCCTCCTCCCCCTCTTCGGCCGCCTCCTCCTCCCCCTCCTCCTCGATCTTCGAGGACCAAGGATTGGAGCATCCGTGCTGGTCGTGTCGAGCCACGTGGAGCCCTTTATAGGGACCCCCGCAGCCCCTGGGAGGCCTCAGAGGTCCCAGCACTTCCCGTCGCGCCCAATCGTCGTCTTCCCGTCCCAGAACTCCCCCTCCACGTCCGCGTCCTCGTCGTCGTCGTCGTCGCCGTAGCTGTCGCCGTCGCCGTCGCCGTCGCCGTCGCCGTCGCCGTCACCGTCGCCGTCGCCGTCGCCTTCGCCGTCGCAGTCGTCGTCGCCGTCGCCGTCGCCGTCGTCGTCGCCGTCGCCGTCGTCGTCGTCGTCGTCCTCCTCCACGTCGTCCTCGTCGTCGTCGTCGTCGGCGGCGTCGTCCTCGTCGTCGTCCTCCACGTCGTCCTCGTCGTCGTCGTTGTCGTTGTCGTCCTCAACGCCGTCCTCGTCGTCGTCGTCGTCGCCGCCGTCGTCGTCGCCGTCGTCGTCGTCGTCCTCCTCCACGTTGTCCTCGTCGTCGTCGTCGTCGTCGCCGCCGCCGCCGCCGCCGTCGTCCTCGTCGTCGGCGTCGTCGTCTTCGAGGTCGTTCCCGCGCCCCTCCGCCTCGCCTTTCGGCGGCGAGCCTGAGGGGGAAGTGAGAAGGGGCGGGCCTTCTCAGAAGGCTCGGAAGTCCCCCGGCCTTTTGAGAAGTCTTCTAAGCCTTCCCCGAAGACACCGAAAAACCTTACAGAGGGCGCGAGGGCTTCCGAGAAGTCCCGCCGCCTTCTGAGAAGGCCTTCTCCTTCTGACTTCCCCCCTCGCTCACCGCCGCTCCACACACGCACCAGGTGTCTGCTTTGCACTGTCTCCAGCCCGTACAGCCGAACATGTGATCAAAAACATCCTCACTTAAGAAATCAGGACCAGCTTCCCCGAAGGTTCTTACAATAAGGCTGGGCCGATCTCTGTTGTTAACACTGGAGGGGCGAGCGTGCCCAAGATTGCCAGCAAGTGGGTCAACAGATGCTGGCCGAGCTTTTCGGAGGAGATCTCTTAATCGGATGCTCTGGCTCTGCTGCAGTGTCCTTGAACCTGGCTTACACTGCTCCTCCTCCGCCTCCTCCTCCTCCTCACCCTCCCCCCTCTGCTCTCCGCACCCCTGGCCCCACTCCACGCCTCCACCGCACCTCTGGCATCCCCCGCCACCCTCCTCTTCTGTGATGCCAACATAGAGGCGTCCTGGATAAAGTCGGAGTAGACTTAAGTCGGGCCTGTCCCCCTACAGGCCGATTTTGGACGAAAAATAGAACATACCCCAAAAATGCTCCAAAAATGCTCAAACATACTGAACAAATAGTCACCAGATCATTTCTGACTATGTTTCAGTATTCCCCATGTAGAGGGACAGGCCCGATTTCAGTGTCGACGGGGTCGGAGGATCGCGCCGCATCGCCGATACATCCGCGATGCACCGGCGATGCATCGGCGACGTGGGCGATGCGTCGGCGACGTCGACGTGAAGCACATCGGGCTCCGCATCGAGCCGCGTCGGCGATGCATCGGCGATGCGACGCGATTACCCGGCCCCATCTGCCCCGACCCCCTCTGGGAGGCCCAGACCAGCACCTGCAGCCCATAGGTCCTCCTGCTCCTCCTCCTCCTCCTCCTCCTCCTCCTCCTCCTCCTCCTCATCATCCTCCTGCTCCTCCTCCTCCTCATCCTCCTGCTCCTCCTCCTCCTCCTCCTCCTCATCCTCCTACTCCTCCTGCTCCTTTGGCCTCCTCCTCAGCCTATACTCCTCCTGCTCCTCCTCCTCCTCCTCCTCCTCCTTGATCCTCCTCCTCCTCCTCCTCCTCCTCCTCCTCGATCCTCCTCCTCCTCCTCCGCCCTGGATCCGAGCCCGCCAGCCTCCGCTTTGCCCACCACGCCCGGCGGCTTCCACCGTCTGCCTCCCGCTCTCAGGAGCCCCTAAGAGGAGGGGGAGGAGGAGGGGGAGGAGGGGGAGGACTGGGAGGAGGAAGAGGAGGAGGAGGAGGAGGAGGAGGAGGAGTAGGAGGAGGGGGAGGGGGAGGATCCTCCTCCTCCTCCTCCGCCCTGGATCCGAGCCCGCCAGCCTCCGCTTTGCCCACCACGCCCGGCGGCTTCCACCGTCTGCCTCCCGCTCTCAGGAGCCCCTAAGAGGAGGGGGAGGAGGAGGGGGAGGAGGGGGAGGACTGGGAGGAGGAAGAGGAGGAGGAGGAGGAGGAGGAGGAGGAGTAGGAGGAGGGGGAGGGGGAGGAGGTGGAGGAGGAGGAGGAGGAGCCCCCCGCTCCACGATCGCACCGCGAGCTGCTCGGGTCTGCGGTCCTGGCCTCCTGGAGCAGGTGCTCGAAGAGAGGCTTCACGTTGTAATCCGTCACCGCGCTGGCCTGGGACCATGCCAAAAAAAAGCTGGGCCGAGAACCACCCTGACTCCTGATCCGCCCTACTTTGGGCGATTTCGAAAGTAGGGCGGAAATTTCCGCCCTACTTTTGAGGCCCCTTTGAGCGTCGATTTCCGCCCTTGAGGCTCCTTCGGCGTCGATTTCCGACACAATTTTAGGTCGGAAAATCATCCAAAGTACGGCGGATCAGGAGCCAGGGTGGGCCGAGAACCAGCACGAGGGACGCACGAGGGGGAGACGCTGGGCGCACGAGAAGCAGGAGGGGGTGGGGCCAGGCGAGAACCGAGGCAGAGGCAGCTAGGACAATAGATGTGGAGGTGGGAACGACCTCGCTTGGAACAGGGTCGCCATATCCGCCGCCTCCCACTCCCAGCCGGCCTGGGGACCCTCTCTGGAGACCCCGATACACAGCGCGCGACCCGGAAGGACGCGTGGCGCCGCATCTGCCATCCTACCCCTCCCACCAATTCCAAATGCACGGATCTTCCAGAGAAAGCACCTCGGCAACTATGTCGAGCCATCTCGGGCCTTCGGGTGCCATCTTGGAGCCCATCTTGCCCCATCGTGGGCACATCATGGGCCACGCTGGGCCACTGCTGGGGGCCTCGCGTGCCTGTCTGCCCATTGGCCTCTTGGCAAGGAAAAATCCCGCCAGCCCTCTGGGCGTGAGTGGTTCAGCGAATTTTCCACTTCCAGCGCTCTTCTTCCCCGTCGGGGAACGCTTTAAGACTGTTCCCTATCAATAGCCCCCCTCGGGAGAAACCCAGAAAAGTTTCAATCGGCGAGAAGGTCAGCCCCAAGAGGCCTCCAGAACTCCCAAGAGGCCAGAATTCCCAAGAGGCCTCAGGAACTCCTAAGGGACCTCTAGAATCACCAATCCGGGGCACAGTTCGCCCCCCAGGGGGGGGGCCTTCGGCCCTCCTGGGGGGGTGCTGGGCTGCTGGTTGCTTGGGGGGGGGGCCGGGACTCTGCGCCCGTCCCTCTTCAACAACCACAACAACAATAACAGCACGAGCACCACCACCACCACCACCACCACCACCAACAACAACAACAACAACAACAACACCAACAACAACAACAACAACAACAACAACAACAACAACAATCACTTTACCCGAACGCTCAGTGTTCTCACCAGTGCCAGGGTTTTCATGCGACGCCAGCCAATACCCCCACTTTGTGGGGGGGCAGTGCAAGCTCTACCAAATATCCACACGACTCTTCGCCACCACCCACACCCAGCTTCCCGCCCTATGACGTTCGGACACTTCACTTCGTGGCCTGCGGACGACCGTGGCTACTACACTGGCGTGGAGTACACACCCACAGAAGTTGTTAAGCCTACGTTCGTACACCCACAGAAGTTGTTAAGCCTTGTTAACCCACAGAAGTTGTTAAGCCTTCCACAGAACATCTGTTGCATATGATGCATATGGTACATGATACACATGATACACATGATACGTACTCACAAGATAGTTGATCACATCTTTAGGGCAAATTCCTGAGGGATGTGGGAATACACAAGAGAGAGAGGATATGGTTGTCCCGATGGTTGTCTCGATGGTTGTCCCGATGGTTGTCCTGATGGTTGTGGTTGTCCCGATCGTTGTCCCGATGATTGTCCCGATGGTTGTCCTGATGGTTGTGCTTGTCCCGATCGTTGTCCCGATGACTGTCCCGATGATTGTCCCGATGGTTGTCCCGATGGTTGTTCCGATGGTTGTCCCGATGGTTGTCCCGATGGTTGTGAGCGATGCCGGATCCTCACGCCCCCCGCCGGAGGAGGAGGAGGAGGAGAAGCAGGACAAGGAGGAAAGGAGAGAAGAGAGGGGAGGGGCGGGAACGGCGCAAAGAAAAAACGAATGTGTCCCGCATGGTATTATTTGACAGGGATTGATGGCCCTGGCAGGTGCGCAACCGTTGTCGCAGAAGTTCGAAAAAGTTGCTCGCAAAAGCCCGTTTGACAGAAATGTTTAAAAAGTGTTGGGTTTCCTACGAATCCGCAAGAGCGCGCGGGATGAGATTTTGACAATTTTTTGTTGAAAAACCATTGGTTTTTTTGATGTTTTTATGTTAAAATCGCTGCGAACACTAAGGTTTTGGAAGGATTTCGTCTTGCGCGCGCGAATGTCCACTTTACCTTATTTTTTGCAAGGGATTCTTGAAATTTGATTATATTAGAACAAGAAATGTCATTTTCTATTGTTTTTTGCAAGGGAAAGCGGATTACAACAAAACAACCGGATCCTGTACACACCCTCTTTTCTGAGGCTTCCTCACGAAAATGATGAAAATGTAGCTGCGGCCTAGGCGGCGCAGGGGGGGCGCGCACCAGGGGGCCCAACAATAATTATTCTTTAGAATAAATAATGTTCAACAACAACAACAAGAGCAGCTACTAGAATTACAACAACACCTACAGCAACAGCAGAAACAACAACAATAACACAAATGACACCACTATGAATAATACTGGTGATCAAAGTAAGACTGCTCGTTATTATCTGCTCGCGTGCCACTCGACACGAATATCCCAAAAGCTCGGTACCCACTCTCTTCGTCTTCGATCGTACCCACTTACCCCCTTGGGGTGTTCCTTCCTTATTCGCCACGTGTATTTAGCGCAGCCCCTAAAACAGTGGAAGAGAGGACGGATGCAAGGGGGAGGGAGAAGGATGCAGCACGCGCGAGATTAGCAGGAGAAAGGCTAGGAGGAGAAAACACGTGGCAGAACGAGACGGGCAGATCGGGCGGGTAGACTCTATCGGGCGGGTCGGGAAGGCGGGCCAAGCGGCCAGATCGACCAGGCGGGTTGCTGAAGCGTGAGCCCTGCATGAATCGCGAAGAAATCTCTAGCGCGATTCCAAAATAAATCGGGAGAAAGGCCAGGGCGAGAGCGTGATTCCTGAGTGTCGAGGGCGCGGCGTCTGTATGAACTGCGGGGATGTGACGCGCGAGAGCGCGATCCCTGCATACATCGTGAGGAGGTCCCGCGCGAGAACGCGATTGTGGAATACCCTTTGTGAGGTAGCACCAGGCGGGAGCTCTTGCTGTTGTTGCCGTAATTCGGGTGCCAGCAACCCAATATGAGCCTCAAGCCTTTCCCCTGTGCTTCGTCTTTTACGAACAAGCAAAAAAACGAACCCCGGGAGGAGCACCGGAATTGACAACAAAAAAAACTCCATGGGCATCGGGGGTGGGGATCAACAGAAATTATCCTCTAGAGACGAGAATTCAAAAACAACAACGAGAGCTCTTCAGAAATGACACTTTAGAGATGAGAGTTCAACCACAAAAACGTTCTCGGCGCACCCCGCTCCCGACGATCCATGCAGAGCGACGCCCGCGTGCTGCGGGCCATGGCGGAGACTGTGACCCGCGCGACTCGGCCACGCCTCGTCTAAGGCAGACGCGCTCTCCACGTGGAGAGCCTGGGCCAGGATGGGAGGCTACAGACCAGGGTTAAGTCGGGCGTGTCCCCCTACCGGGGGATTTTCGCCGGAAGATACAAACATATCAAACAAATATTGCCACATGGTCAGAAGATGCTCAAACATCGTCCCCAGACTATTTGTTGGTACTATTTTTGAATACTCCCCCTGTAGAGGGACAGGCCCGACTTAAGACCAGGGCCTGGTGTCTTGGGCCCCCTTCCTCCGACCAGTGCTCGCGCGTGCGGGCTCCAACTTCTCCTCCGCAAAATGGTCGAAAGATGCTCAAAAATCGTCCCCAGAAAATGGTTTGGCTATCTCCGAATACTCCCCTTGTAGAGGGACGGGCCCGACCTAAGAAGACCAGGGCTTGTAAAACAGGGCTAGAATCGGGATACATCGCTCCAGAGCGTCCCGGAGCGCTCTCAGAGCGTTCCAGAACGCTCTGGAGCGGCCGCGGCGCCCAATACATCCTCCAAACCCGCCGATTCTCAGAGATTTCGAGCTATCCCGATCCGATTTTGTCCCGATCTGCGCGTCGTTTTAGCTTGGTGTCTTGGGCCCTGTCCTCCGACCGGTGCTCGCGCGCGCGGGCTCCAGCTTCTCCTCCGCACGGCTGGATGCGAGCAGGGGGCAGGCTGTCGGTGGCCAGGGAGTGTCGCCGACGGGGTGCCCGACAATCCTTGCCGCAGAACCGCCAGTAGAGGAGGAGGAGGAGGACGAGGAGGAGGAGGAGGAGGAGGAGGAGGAGGAGGAGGAGGGGGAGGGGGAGGGGGAGGAGGAGGAGGGGGAGGGGGAGGAGGAGGAGGAGGGGAGCAGCATTTTTTTACTCGACGAGTGGGGCTGTGTGCCGACTGATGGGAGTACATGTGAGGCTTGCGGAGCCCGTCGCTGGACCGCACTCTCGCGGATCCTGTCCTGGTCAGCTATGCAGGCTGGTGCGCACGCTCGATCGATGCTGCAACTCGGGCGCGGCGGAGGCAGGCTGCAAACGAGGGGAGAGGCACGCACGCCTCTGGCGGCGGAAACCGCGTCTCGATAGGAACTGGGCCCCCGCCTCAGGGACAGAGCTATCTGCACATAATCACGGCACTAGAGAGGCTGGGAACATGGACAGGAATGCATTCAGCTGGCCAGGCAGCCAATGCTGTCAGCCACGCCTCAATCAAACTCGAATGGGCAATACTCATCTTCGGAGCCGATCGGGTCAATGGCGGGGGGAGGCAGGGGCGGGGGAGGGGTAGGTACCGTGCCCCCGATAGTCTCTCCCTGTACAAACACTACTGGGTTAGTACCTCTAGCCACGACGCCATCTCGTCTTCCAGCCATCCAGGCGGGGCTACACCAGTGTGGCGCTGGGCCACTCCCTCCGAGATGAAGGCATTCGTGACCGTGCCCCGCATGGGCCACGCTGGCGCTGCCACCTGGAGCTTCACTTTCTCCGCGTCGAAGCATCTCTCGATGCGGATGGCCGCCACGTCCAGCTCCAGGTGGGGTCTCGTTATCGGCGGCTCCTCTCCATTGACTGGTATGATTTGTTCCACGTAC